ATAATTTATGTTTTCTTTGTGATAGCAATTCCACATTTTATTCAGCATAGCAATCATGACAATTGATTCATAAAAGCAAAATTGCCTAATCAATGGACTAGAAATACAGTCACTGTGAATATAAATTCTTTCCTCTTCTAATGATCCCAAGCTAATCATTTCAGCTCTTCTGCCTCGTTTTCCTGATTAAACCAGGAGAATAAAGACAACAGTAACATGTGACTCCTACATTAGCAAGCTAAGCATGAAGAATGAGTATAAACCAGTCTGTAAGCAAAGGGGTTTGGGGGATTTGTATAATCCATTCCATGGCACGTCTTAACTAATATTCCCTGTACTGATAGGGCCAAAAAAAAAAAAAAAAAAAAGTAACTCTCAAATAGCGAAAAGAAGAAAATGGGATTAGAGTTAGATCAGCTTCATTTTATAACTATATATAATTCAAAGCTAGTCGCTCGGCTTTGCCTTAGTTTTTTGTTCTGTAAAAGTGTTTCTTAGAGGCAGTTACGAGGATTAAATGACCCGACAGAGGCAAAACAGCTTTGTAAACCATAAGGCATTTTATTCAGAGTCAACAAGATGACTTTTTCCCCTCGCACAATTTAGAATTATGTACCTGTTGAGATAGCAACGCCCTTGTTTAATCCCAGCAATGCTTGGTTCCCAAATGCCTCTCTCACTCGCCCCGAGTGATACTGGAGCCACAAAAACCTCAGCTGTTTTTTTTGTTTTTGTTTTTGTTTTTGTTTTTTTTTCTCGTAGTCTTCCTCAGTTCCAACGTGGTACGCAGGTACCTGGCGTGTGTCTGCTTAGACAGTGGATGGCCCTTGTTCAAAGACTGATGGGAACACCTAGTGTAGGAAGCGGCGCCCGGGCCGCCCACACCAACAGGCCGCGCGCTCCCGTCTCACTGTGCGCGAGGAACCGGTGTGCTTTTCCGTGAGGCTGCATCGCCCTCCCTCCCTTGGCTTTCTGGGTGACGTGCCTGTGCCAGAGACTGCAGTGGCAGAACAGTAAAGAGGGAAGAGGCCTAGACAGAGGACGGGGTGGAGGAGGCATTTTACAACTTGTTAAGATGTGAGTCTTCCCACCTCAGCTGTTGGTTTTTTAAACAAAAACAAACTACAGATCAAAATCTCAAAGACAACCCCCTCTTCTGGGCTGCCCCAGCTTGTCTCTAAGCCACCTTCCTCCTTCGTTCTTTGTCCCTGCCAAGCCACTAATCAGAACAGCGTGAATCATGCACCTCAGCTCTGGGTGGCTCCCAGCAACACCCCAAATCCCGCAGTTGTAAAGCCAGCTGCTAGGAGTTTAATCCTGTTGAGGTGAGCGCTCCCTCAGGATCAGAGGGAGGAGCAAACAGATCAGGGACAAGCGCATCTGAAGTGAGCACATGTCCACCAGCCACAACCCCACTCCGCCATGATGTACTGATACTGCTCTGGTATCCACGCAGGGAGCACCCTTCTTTCCAGGCAGCCCTGCTTTGGAGGCTGATGTGGAGTGCTAAGTTCATCTCCCAGCATCTAGTCCATTCCTCAGCCACTCTGCAGCAACCATTTATTGTGGTGGGACTGATCCTATTCCCAATCGCAGGGAAAGACTCCTAACTAGATGCCAGTCAGGGAAATCCCATCTCCTTGCCCTGGGATTGGTTAGGGAATGGGCAGACCTGAGCCAATCAGAGCAGAGTTTTTCCTTGCCCACTATGATGATGTTGAGACTGAGCCAATCAGAGGGAAGCTTGGGACTTGTTCTGGAAGGAATGCTCTGCCCTCTTTCCTCTTGGATGTGAGAGAAAGTGCATCATCTTGTAAGCAGGAGGGAAGGCTGCCTGAAGATAGTATCAACACAGCGAAGGCACAGATACGAGAATCAGAGAGAGAAGAAGCTTAAACCTTAAGCAAGTCAGAGCCAGGGCCTACCTGACTGTAGATTTTATTAGTTTCCAGAGCCATTAAGTTCCTAAAGTTTAAGCCTATTTGAGTAGGATTTTCTGTGATTTTGCCCTTGAAAGCATCACAACGGGTAGAGGCATCATCATCTGGTGAGGCCAAGGGAGAAGGAAAAGGAAACTTGGAAAATGGCCATGATGGTTAATGCTATGTGTCAACTTGGCTAGGCTATGTGCCCGGTTGGCCAAACACCAGTCTAGACGTTTCCTTGAAAGTATTTTAAAATGTGAGTAATATTTAGATCAGTAGACTTCAAGTAAAGCAAATTACCTTCCATAATGTAGATGGGCCTCATCCAATCAACTGAAGACCTTAAAAACAAAGACTGAGCTTTCCCAAAGAGAAGGAACAGGACCTCAAGTTTACAGCATAAATGTCCTGCTTGAGTTTCTAGCCTGCAGATTTCAGACTGAGGACTACAGCATGAACTCCACAACAAAATTCCAGCATGCTGGTCTGCTCTACAGATGTTAGGCTTTCCAGCCTCCACAATCACATCAGCCAATTCCTTCAACTCGGTCTCTCTCTTTCTCTATCCTATTGGTTCTGTTTATTAGTCAGGTTCTGGAGAGCCCTGACTTATAAGTCAGTGACACCAAACTTGTTTACTAAGAAGGGACAGGCACTGGTTCAACTGATTTGGTGGCAAAATCTGATTTGGGAGATGATGGGCCTGGATGAGGTGCAGCATCCTAAGCTCCAAGAGTCTCAGACACAGTCCAGAAAATGGTTGGCATCATGGAGCCCAATATGAGGTAGGAGAGATCCAACAGGAAGGCACGGTATGGTGACAGAGAACCTGGACAGAACGCCATCCCCTAGGAGATGCTGGGAAGAAAACCAGGCAAGCAGCAGAATCCTCTTCACTGCACTGGGGCTTATGGTAGATCTCCAGTCCTAGAAGAGACCTAAGGTTGTGGGGACAGGGCAACCAAACAGAGCTTAGTCATGGGCCAAGGCACAGTCCTGTCCCATGGACTTGCCCAATATGGGCCCAGAGAGGGAAGAAGTAGCTGAGAGGTGTGATCTAGGGGCCTGGAGCCACCTAGAAGCCTTTCCTAAGGACAATAGCCCTGCGGCAGGGAAGGAAACCCAGGGAGCCCCATGGGAACTCAGAGTTACAAGATGATCTTGAGACTGGGAGAGGCCCCTCAAAAGTCCACTTCATGCTTGGGTCAGCCTGGGGACTGGGGCGGATGTGAGCCTTCATGGTGGGACCTGGGAGCCCAAAGCAAAGGAGTTTCAGTGTCTCTTTCTGTGCGAACCCCTCCCCCTTGCTGCCTCTCTCCTGGCAGAGTGACTGTATCTGCCCCTATGGTGTCTTATAAATGCATTTATTATGGCTCAAGGAAGACAAAGCAGGTAGGCCACAGCTCCCACCTTAGCAATCTTACATTGAATCCTGGCCACACATTGAAATGAGACACTCATTTGTATAGGCCCCCAATTAGTAGCGGAGGTATTTCCAATCTCTGTCAGATATACCCAAAGGAACCAGCCTCCTTCTGTTTTTATATTCAGACTTGAATATAGTGGCCTTCCTATGGGGACTAAAGTAAAGGGCAGCTAGCCTGGCAGGTCTTCCCAGCTTTGCTAGGAGGAAGGTTATGGTATCCTCTGGTGCCTTTGACCTCCTGGCTCCTACTGTGGACCTCATGGCAAATTTGAGCAGAGCATTTCTGCAAGGCAGTGCAGAAACGTGACCCACTGACTTATAACTGCACCAAAAGCCATGAGAACCACCTCACAGAAAAGGCGGCGTCCTCAGGACGAGCTTAGGATTTGGAAGAATTGTGTTCGATACATATTTCAGGTGGTCAGAGAAGAGTTCATCAGTAGTCTTGATATTTGTAAAAATGTTGTGTAAGAAAAGCAGATTCCCAACTTCATCACTAAAGCAAAGTTCGGGTAGAAAATCCCAAGTTAGGCAATAAAAGTCAGCATTTTCATGTTACTTAAGAGTTTGCAGAGCATTTTCATGCTCATAATTCTATAATATAAGCATTAGTGTTCCCTCCATAGCTAGGGTGTGAGGAGTGATAAATACATTTAGTTAATTTAGCATAAAACTGACCTTTGTCCTTGCTGCTAGGGAGAGACAGAACCAAAACTAAAGCAGCCTTAAAATTCTCCAAACCAACCTCTCTCTGGCTCCTAGAACATGGTGTCCTTTCTTGCTTCTCTTCCCCACAGCCAAAAAGGGACCAGAGCTCCCCACAGTGGGGCTCGTAGGAGCCTGAACAGAGCACAGGCATGCAGACTTGCAACTGAAGACTTAGAGCAGAGTCTGCAGAGCATGAGCAGGACAAAGGACCAGCAATCTATTACCTCTGAAAGTGGTGGGGATGGGTTTCACTGAGTAGGGATCTGGAGAGGGGTCTCAGAAGCTTGAGGGTGTTAAATAAGCATTAAAAGAAGATTGGCCAGGTGCTGTGGTTCACACCTGTAATCCCAGCACTTCGGGAGGCTGAGGCAGGTGGACTGCTTGAGTTCAGGAGTTCGAGACCAGCCTGGGCAACATGGCGAAACTCTGTCTCTACTAAAAATACAAAACTTAGCTGGGTGTGGTGGCATGTGCCTATGGGCCCAGCTACTCAGGAGGCTGAGGCTGGAGAATCGCTTAAACCCAGGAGGTGGAGGTTGCTGAGCCATGATCATGCCACTGCACTCCAGCCTGGGCAACAGAGCGAGTCTCCATCTGGTTAAAAAAAAAAAAAGAATACTGTCAGAGGAACTCTATCCACAGAAGACCTGAGTGGGAAGACTGTGTGAGAGGAAGAGCAGGTGAGGTTAAGTCACCCTCCCAGAACTCTGATGCTTCCTGCTTTGGGATAAATAATAAGACCTCACATATATTAAATCACAGACTCAAGGAGACTTTGCACATTGCGTCATTTAACCCTCACAATGAATTTAAGAAACAGGTACTATTATTATTCCCATCCTACAGATGAGGAGACAGGTTTAGAGACATCAAAGAACTTATCCATTGTCAGGTGGGATAATCCTTACCTCTGTTTGGAGGACAGTATTAGGACATGATGATTGGAGTCACATGATATGATTAATATCTGCTGCATAATCAGGACTCACAACACCCTGATTGCTCCTATCTGATTCTTCCTGACAATCTCTTAAAGAACAAAACATATTTCCAAGGACACACAGCTAGCTATGGTGGAGCTGGGATTTGAAGGCAGTCCTGCCTTTAACCATGACACTGTCCTATGTCCACTTAGAATCTTTCAAAAAAAAAAAGAACTGCTGCTAACATGCTCCTAAGAGCACCCAAGGAGCTGCTAAGTGAGTCTTGCCCTCCCCCTACCGCCCTCTGTCTCCTCCCATGCCAGAAGATGGAAGACCACAGTGACTGATCAGATGGCAGCAGCACCCGCCTGTGACCCAGCAATCAGAACCAAGTCCCACCACTGCTGCAGGCTCAGCCTGAGCAAAGCGGTCACCATCCTATGCCACAAGGAGAACTGCTTCCTGCCTACTTCCTCCTGCTTTATCTTAAATCCCCCGAAACTCTGCACCTGTAAATGCATCTCAAGACACATCACCCTTCTGATTGGGACTCTGATGTGGTTAGTTACCATACGCCCTCTGACTGCTTCTTTCTGGTTTTTTTGATCCAGGTCTGTCTGTGTGGACCCTGTGTCCTGGCTGAACAGCATTTGTGGGGTCCCTGTGCTTGCTCAGCATCCCAAAGCCCCTCATATTCCTCTGAGCTCTGCTCTTCCTCTATCCTGTCTGGTCAACCCCACCTCATGGCTGCTACCCTCAGCATTCTCTCCCAAGGTAGGCTGATTGGGTTTCTATTGTATCTTATAAATACATTGTTATGGCTCTTTTCTTATTTTCTATTACTTTTCACCATATTTCCCTTGTTGAGGTTAGAAACTAAATTTATTCCTTTAACAAATATTTACAGCACACATGATCATGACAAGTGGCTGTACTAGTCTGTTCTCTCCTTGCTACAAAGAACCACCTGAGACAGGATAATTTATAAAGAAAAGAGGTTTAATTGGCTCACAGTTCTGCAGGCTGTACAGGCAGCATGGCTGGGGAGGCCTCAGGAAACTTAGAATCACAGCAGAAGGCAAAGAGGAAGCAGGCATGTCTTACGTGGTAGGAGCATGAGGAAGAGAGATACAAGGGGGAGGTGCTACACACTTTCAAACAACCAGATCTCGTGAGAACTTTATCACGAGAACAGCAAGGGGGATGGTGCTAAACCATCGGAAACCATCCCCCATGATCCAATCACCTCCCACCAGGCCGCACATCCAACACTGGGAATTACAATTCAACATGAGATTTAGGTGGGGACACAGAGCCATACCATATCAGTAGGGGTCACTTTGCCTTTCCTCACAGAGTTTACACTCTATGGCAGCAGTCCCCAACCTTTTTGGCACCAGGGACTGGTTTCATGGAAGACAGTGTCTCCATGGACCTGATAGGGAAGGGGTTAATGGTTTGGGGATGAAACTGTTCCACCTCAGATCATCAGGCATTAGATTCTCATAAGGAGTGTGCAACCCAGATCCTTTGCATGTGCAGTTCACAATAGGGTTCATGCTTCTATGAGAATCTAATGCCGTGGCTGATCTGACAGGAGGTGGCGCTCAGGAGGTAATGCTCGCTCACCGGCCGCTGACCTCCTGCTGTATGGCCTGGTTCCTAACAGGCCATGGACCCATATGGGGCTGCACCCTGGGGATTGGGGATCCCTGCTCTACCGCATGCAGGGCCTAGGATCTGGGGAGAAAAAAACTTATAAATTAGTAAATAATACATAACATCTGATGAGGCAAAGTACTAGGAAGAAAAATAAAAGAGGAACAGAGACTATAGAATGTGAAGTAGCTTAGCATGGATAATTTTATATAGTGCATAAAATATATTACGGTAGCTGAATAATGGCCTCCCAAGATGTGTCTGTTCTAATCTTCTGAACCTGTGAATATATGAAGTCACATGGTAAAAGGGACTTTGCAGATGTAATTAAATTCACCATTTTGAGATGAGATTATCCTAGAACTGCTTAGCTGGGCCCCATATAATTACAAGGATCCTCGTAAGGAGGCAGGAAGAGCAGTGATGATGGAAGCAGGAAGCTGAGTGATGCAAGGAAGGGACCACAAGCCCAGGAATGCGGGTGGCCTCTACAAGCTGAAAAGGCAAGGAAGTGGCATCTCCCCTGAAGCCTCCCGAGGAAACCAGCCCTGCCGACATCTTAATTTTAGATCATGGCATCCAGAACTGTAAGATAATCATTTGGTGTACTTTTAATCCATAAGTTTGTGGGATGTTGTTATAGGAGCAAGAGGATGCTAATAGAGGGTGGTCAGGGAAGATCAGGGGACTGATCAGGGAAGATCACTGAACAGGGGACATTGGCATAGAGACCTGAAGGAAATGAGGGAATGCATACATCTATGCATACATCTGAGGGAAGAGCATTCCAAGCAGAGAAGAGCAAATGCAAAGGCCATGAGGTGGGAGCATGCTCAGCAAGGTCAAGGAATACCAGGAAGCTGGCGTGGCTGGCATGAACAAGGACAGGAGCCATGTCTGGGAGGTAGCATGGCCTTGATGCACATTGTAAAGACTTTGGATTTGACTCTGAAGGAGACAGAAAGGCACCAAAAGGTTTTGAGCAAAGGAGAAACAAGATCAGATGAATATTTTTAAGGTTTATTCTGGCTATTGAACTGAGAATAAGTTGCAGAGGACAAGGAGAAACTGGAAGGACAGTCTGGAAGACTCTGCAACACCCTAGACAAGAGATGATGGCGGCGTCTAGTAAGGAGTGAGATGTGGTCAGATTCTGAATACATTTTGAAGGTAGAGCCAAGAGGATTTGCTGATAGACTGGGTGGAGAGTGGCTGAGAAAAAAATCCAAGTCAAAGACCACTCTAAGGTCGGTCTATGGCTCAAATAACTAGAAGATGGAACTGCCATTTTATAAAACGGGAAAGACTGGAAGGAGACTGTGGTGCGGTGGTGTGGGGAGGGTGGGAGGGAGATCAGAAGTTCAACTTCGGACGTATAAATGAGAGATGTCAATTAGATATTCAAGCGAACAACTGAGTAGGTAGCTGGATATACAAGGCTGGCACTCAAGGACGAAGGTTTAGGCTAGAGAAATAAAACTGAAAGTCAGCATATAATGTTATTTCAAAACCATAAGTCTGGATGAGATTGCAGGGAGTAAGTGTAGGCAGAGAGAGGGAAAAAAAGAAACCATCTGAGGACGAAGCTTAGGGGCACTCCAAGTGAGATAATGAGGAAGCAGTGAAAGAACAGCCAGTGAGGTGGCAGAATGAAGAAAGTGGTTTCTGGAAGCAAACTGAACATACTGTTTCTTAATACCTTTATATTTAAGGTCAGAGAGAGGTGGAGCTGGAAGTTAAGAGTAAGCAGTCTGACCCCAGAGGTCATGTTATTTACCATGAGATGTATGTGTAGAGTGAAAGAGCAAGTGAACCAATGAACGAATAAGTGAATGAATGAATGGCTATGACCAGATGTTGGTTCCTTCATGTAATTTTTCCTCTCCAGTCTCTCAACTCTTGCACATGCCATCTCTTTTCCTTTTCAATTTATTTGTTTATTTAACAATAAATATTGTTATTTATTTTAAAGTGTTTGTAGACATGGTGTCTCACTATGTTGCCCAGGCTGGTCTCAAGTGATCCTCCCACCTTGGCCTTCCAAATTGCTAGGATTACAGGTGGGAACCACCACGTCCAGCGTCTTTTCCTTCTTAACTGCTTACAATTCATCTTGTTCATGAAGAGTTTCAACCTAATTCCATCCATGTCCTCAACCCCTCAGCAAACATGGCCTAGATGAAAGATCTCTGGCTTGGTCTGGTCATTGCTTGAGACTCAGCTCAGCCAGTATTTGTTACTGAGACCTTGAATCAGTTCCTTCCAGTGCTACACATTTGTGGTGACAAACCCAACTCTTCATGACCTCTGAAGACTTACTCATGAATCCAGTGGCTCCTGTGTAAAGAAATATGATTTACAAGAAAATTAAAGGATTTTTTTTTCACAAACACGTTTTTATCAAGGTCAAAATCCAATGAAGATGCTCTTATTTCCCATTATACATCATTTTTATTGATTCCTTATTTAAATAAATCTTAACAAAAATGAAATATGTTCAAACATATTTTCAACCCACTCACCCCCAGCTGCTACCAGTCACACAAATACCATCCTCACTTTTAAAGTCATAAATGGAGTGAGGTAGACCATTTTGGTGGTTCATAGGCAGGCTGAGCTTTGAGTAAATGAATCTGAGCATAGGGTGTTTCATATTCTTTCTTTGTGATATTTTAATTTTAGTTCCAATAAAACTATACATCCTCCAAGGTGATGATAACTTCGGGAATCTTTTGGTACTGCGATTGAAACCCAGTGAGTACTCTAGGTACAAGATTCTGGCCTGAGACAATGCATTTTCTGTGATGACAGCAGGGGGAGCCCCTTCTCTCCAGTGTTTCAAAGCGATTTGCTATTATTCTGTTTAATATAATAACTGAAAGTCTCTATTTTGGGTGGTAGGCACTCACTGTGCCAATCACCTAATGATGCCCTGTATGACAGCACCTTCTCATGTCTCATTGATAAATGAAAAACCAGAAACCTGTCATAGAGGTTACCTCATTTGATATTTTAGCCCCCTTTGAGTCAAGTACAACATATGTATACGTGTGTATATATACATGTCTATGTATATACATATGTGTGGATATATATGTGTGTGTGTATATATATATTTTTTAGATGGAGTCTCGCTTTGTCGCCCAGGATGGAGTGCAGTGTGGCGATCTCAGCTCATTGCAACCTTCGCTTCCCAGATTCAGGAGACTCTCTTGCCTCAGCCTCCCAAGTAGCTGGGATTACAGGCATGCACCACGGCGCCCAGCTAATTTTTGTATATTTAGTAGAGACAGGGTTTCAGTATGTTGGCCAGGCTGGCCTCAAACTCCCGACCTCAGGTGATCCGCCCGCCTCGGCCTCCCAAAGTCCTGCAATTACAGGCGTGAGCCACTGTGCCTGGGCTCTATTGTTTTTAATAATTGCAAAACAGACACAAAACTTAACTGAATTACCTGAGATGACTGCACAAGGCCCAAGAACATCTGGAGATTTCCTGACCTTTATTCTAGTGGTTTTATCTGGGGGCAGAACTGGACAATTCTGAGGTGTTTTAGAGAACCCTGAATTTGCATCTCTCAGCATAGTTTCCTCTCAAAGGTCTTTGTGAAGGAGCAGAGCCACTGAAATTGCATTGCTGCTGTGTCAAGACAGTCACAGGAAAAGAGCAAGAATAATTTCCTAGGAATTGCATTTCAACCCGAAAAAGCTTCCAGATTCCTCAGTAACATATATAAAGAGTAGATTGTATTGCACGATTTCCATCTCAAGCTTCTAAATGGTTTTTGTGCCTATTATCTAGAAAGAAAAATATGTTGGTGAAGGAAGTCTTTGGGGTAGGGTTGTGTCTAGGAATTCACAAGCCTGAAGCAAGGCTTTATTTTTTTTAGCCTCCTATCCATTCACCCGTTCATTCACTTTTAAACAAAACTATTATACAATACTTAATCCACAATCTAGTTGCTACTTCTGGTAGCCAGCACCCTGCCCCCCCCAACTCCAAAGGTGGTGATGGAGAAACAGTTTAATGTCAGTTTTTAAAGTGACAGGGGTCATGTTGTTCATTTTTTGCGAAAATACTGCAGAGTATTAAAGGGAATAATTAATAAAAATCAGCAGTAAACTAATTCGGTAGAACCTCAGTGCACAATGCTATGATCAAAGAAAATTTTTTTTCTTAAAATTTAAATAAAAGTTTCTTGATGGAAAGTAAACTGATTCCAGGCAGTCAGTTGTTACAGTACTCTGGGCAGTTCCCATAGGGGCATGTCCTGAGGTTTGCTTAATAAATACATTTTTATTAGCATGCACCATCCATTAGTGCTAACACAGATGCTTCTTAAACATGCGTGTTTACTTCACCAGCACGGAACATTTGGCTTATTATAGCTACAGCCAAAAAAAAAAAAAAAAAAAAAAAGGCAGCATCATGATTTCCAAAAAGGGAGTGACATTTGATTTGGGGCAGCTCTTGTCATGCGCCATCTCCAACTTGGAAAATCCACCCAGTACAGCCCGGCCAGTCGGGGACCCTTGCAGGCGGCAGCCAGGGCTGCTGCTGACGCGCGTTTGATCTTTTCTGGGCCACCGAGGGTTCGCCACACCCCTGCTCTGGCGCGCACGTTCCTCGCTCGGCCTCGCCCAGCAGGAGCCAGACCTTTTACTTTATTTGGTTCACCACGCGGTCTCCGCTCCAAAGAGCGCGCCGGCGGCGGCGGCGCACGCGGGCCCTCGCGCGCACTCGCACATTCTTCCCCGGGAACGCGGGTGGGGGGCGCGGGGAGGTGGCGGGGCCCGGGCCGCGGTAGCTCTAATTATAGCCCGGCAGCTGGCGCGCGGGCTCGGCCTGGCGCTCGGAGCCAGGACAGGGCGGCGGGGCGGAGCGAAGCGCACGGGGCCGTTTCCCGTTTCCGGGCCCGCGCCCCGCCCCGTCCCGTCCCGTCCCATCGGGTCCAGTCCGGCCCCGCCCGGGGTCGCGGGGTTCCACGTGCGCAGAGCCGGGCGCGCGGAAACTGCGCTGCTCCAGCCCGGGAAAAGTTCTAGAATAGAGGCGCGGCGCAAGTCAGGGGGCCGCCTTGGAAACCGCAGCAAGGGCTCCTCGTGGGCTCCAGGCTGTTGGAGAGTGAGGGAGCCTCCTCCCCTTTCCTTCCCGTGGAGTAAACAGGGTTTGCCAGGGCTGGATTCTTTCTTCCATTTAAAAAGTGCCATTCCGAACAGCGATACAAAGTGAAAAAATAAATTTTTTAAAAAAGAAAGGAAAAACTACAATTTGACCACTCTGACCAGCCTCCTTGTTCCAACTGGCCTCTTGATTTGTATAAAGATGATGGGGTCTGGCGGCCCCTTTGATGCATGAGTTGCACGCTGGGCATAATGAACTTATTGTGCGAAAGCACTTTGGACTTCGGACTGTGTTCCTATGTCAGAATTTTACTGTGGTTTGTAAGATAAACTGGAAGGAAACAAACTCATAGTTAACTCTTGTCAATACGTGTCTTGAACCAAGCAAAGTGACATTTCCTACCTGTGGCTTTGACTTTAAGCTGCACAAAAGGTAGGAGCTAGCCTCTCAGCTGTTCAGAGCCTAGAATGAGATGCCTGCTTAGTAGGTGTTAAATAATAACAGCAACAACCCATATGGTGCTTATTAGGAGAATAGTATTACAAAACTTCTCTAATGACTGTGACCCTCCTGTGAAATTCTGATTTCAATTGTATATGGGGTACAATAAATCTTTATCTTTTATCACCAGAAAAGCTAATTGAACTGCTGTTTGCAGGCAGAAATAACAAAATGGGGGTAATGGGCTCTCAGCCTGGGCTAAGGCTCTCAACAGCTTTTTTCTGTTTTGCAGCTCACACATATAGTCGGCTCAGGCAGATGGCCCAAGCCAAGCCTGTGCCAAAGAAATGCTGATTTAGTCTGACCCAGACAATCTCTACTCCCACATGTCACTTCTCTGCAGAACTCTTACTAGTATGGCAAATACTTTAAAAATCATACAATAAGGCAAAAGCTCAGTAATTTGAGGTTCACTTTTAATAAACTCTTTCCATGCATTAAAATAAATTGAGGTCCTTAGCTCTGGCGAAATGTTTCTAGGTTTTTAATTCCACCCCCCTACCCCACCCGCCCCAGACATAAATAGCCACATACGCAATTCAAAGTACTCTATTTGAACTAGTATAGGAAAGATGTTTTCTATAATATTGCAGATAAATTTGCAATGACTTAAATATTTATCTGCTTAAGTTGCTGAGTGCCTCCACAACAAAACCGAACTCAATTTTTGGTGCCTGATGGGCATCTGAATGTTACCTGATGGTGATGATATACTTAGAAATACTAATTGCTAAGTAAAAGTGGTAAGTGATGTGATCTACAGATTATGTAATGTAGTTCATTTCCCCCAAAATGTAAACTATATTTAGAAATATTCAAATGTGACATTATTACCCTATACAGGATGTCTTATCTCAGCATCAAGGGCGTCTGCAGAGCTGCTGGAGGAGGCTCTTTGGATTACGCAATCTAACTTCTGAAAGCCCATTCAAAGGATGAGAGCAACCGGTGCGTTGAAGCTCTCAATTTAAACTAGGAATCCCGTAGTCTAGTCTCTAGACTTATCTGACCTAGGCAGAAATCATCTCCCAGAGGCTTTTCATGGCTGATTCTGTGATATTTTACTTGCATTGAAGATTATTCCATGTTTTGAGTTAGTGTGAGTCATACAGTGCTATTCTATTTTCCAAATAAATGTTTGTCTTACAGAAGAAACTTTATACCATTTTAATAGGGTTGTTTTACAAGGAAATTTTACTCAGTTGGTTTTTGGATTAAAAATAAAAGAACAGCTTTTAAGATACTATGTCTAAATGATTCTCAATAATGATCTGTGGTATAGTTACTTTTTGCCCTAAAATACCTTTTCTGTGGGTTGTATGGATTGTTTTATGTTGTGCCAGGCAGATGTGCACAATTTTCTGATAAAAACCAGTACAAACACAGACTTTGTATTCTATAATCTTTTAAAGAGGCAAGTTACACTCCAAATCAACAAATCAGAGAGCTGTTTCCAATCAAGCATTTTAGGTTAAGTTGTATTGACACGGGGAGGGAGCAGATGACACAGTAATGAGTTAAAACAATGTTCACTGTTAAATTAGGTATCAATTAATGTAATAACTAGGGGTAGTGTGGGTATCCCTGACAAATTATGGATTTATCTGAGGATTAATGGAGGAATCCACAGATAATCCATAAATCTACTCATTTTCTAGCTAACCTCTTAACGAGTAATTTATAAATTGTCTATTTGTGTGCCTTTTAAGTTACAGTGAGGGGTTCACACATATTAAGGAAAATGCAGGCTGTCAACAGAAACAGCCAACAAGAGATCTAGATAGTTTGTAATCTGGAAAGTCACACCTGTAATTTTTATTTGATTGTAGTACTATTGCTGTCAGAGGCCTAACCAGTGGCACTGAAAGAGTTAAAACAGTCCCCACCCCCACCCCCGATTTCTAGAACCCCAGATGATAAATTGGGTAAATATGTATTCCATTCATTGGTGCATCTGACCTTGGTCTGTGACAGAGGAAAGGCGTGTCTTCTCATACTGTTCCCTACGAACAAAAGGCAAGCAAATGAGGGTGACTCAGGACTTCTCATGGCCTACACACAACTGAACATTTTTCTGAATGATTCCACGTATACACTTAGGAATCAGGAAGAGAAACATTTTACTCTTCACTAACCAAATAAAACCATCTATAAATCATATGCAAAACAACTTTGAGTAAAGAGGGACTTAAAAGTCTAGGAATTAAAAAAGGATTTCCATAGTTTCCTTTTAACTCTCCCTCAACTCCCCTTTGGGGAATAAACAAAGACATCTGCCACATCAAGAGTCCGGTTTGTTTTCTTAACTGAAAACGAAATGCAGTCATTAAAGTGTATCTTTGGGAAGAGGTTTTGAAATGTTGAAAATTACTTCTACAAGCTGCACTATTTTCAATTTCATTAAAAATAAAATTTAGCACTTTTGTTTAAAAAAACTGAAGTTCATCCTATTTCTTTTAACTAGTTATTACCTGAAAAATTGTTTATTATTATCTGTAACTTGCTAAGAATATGGTTTCTTGAAAATGACCTTAATAGCCTACTAATAATGAAAAACTATTAAAATATATATAGTGATGGGCCCCCCTCCTAGTCACTGGACCACCCCTAGTGTAAATATATTCAAGTACACATTCACTGTTGCTGTTTAATTTAAAACATATAGTAGTAACTCTACGTATATCCTAGCCTCAAACTCTTTATAAGTTTCACAACTTCCTTTCATAGAGAAGTCTGCCAAGCCGTTAATCAATAAAAAGAGTAAAAGCTGCAACATCTAGGAAATGTCTTACTATATGAGAGTAGCCAGTAAAATGTGTCTCCGTGCTTTCTACCTTTTATCTCTATTTATAAATTTAGGTTTCAGGATATCAATAAAGCTCATACATGGATTTGGCTTTTTTCATTCCTAAGCTTTCCAAAGTATAAGGCTTTGCTTTTTTTTTTTTTTTTAAATCCGTTTTATCTTTAGTGCATTTCCTATGGCCCAAGGTAGCTGTTTTATTCCAAAGCTTTCCAAAGAGCAGCTCCAGGTCTTGACAGTCTTTTCAGTGTCGTCACTATCTTCTCCTTCCAATCTACTATTGCAGAATGGCTGGTTCTGCTGCTAGTTGAAAAATAAACAAATGCTTTCTAGCTGTACTTTGTTCAGCTCTTTCATCTGTGTCCCCTATCCAGTTGCCCTTTCCCCAGTCCCTGGCACTTCTTTTTTATACCATCAGTTGCCTTTTTGTTCCATGTCTTTTATCTCCTGAAGTTCAGGCAAACCCCAACCCCAAACCCACACATCCTTTAGTCACATTGCCATTAGTGATTAAAACAATAGCCATTCTAAGCTTGCTTTAGAAAATTAAAAAAGGCCTCAGAAAATGTTCAGTGCTCCCAATTTTATTTTTATTTAATGCTAAAAGTTAAAGAAAAAAAGGTACTGTAAATCTGACAAATGACAGAATTCAGGTGATATTTCCATAGCGTGATTTTAAAATATAATAATGTTGATATCTGAAATTACACTCACTTCAGTTGACATGAGTTTCATCATATATAGAAAAAGTATCACCTTCAACTTAAAAAAAGTAAAGGTTAAAAGGTGGCACACTTTTAAAATACTTGGTGGCCAAGGGAAGGTATATAGTAAAAGTTGTAAACCATGTGTATGTTCTCATAACTTTAAATGTGAGGCCACATAAAAGACAGTACATCTGTTAAATTCTATAAATTGTTAAAGCAAAAAAGGGAAAGCTTCAACACCCCATCCCCTTATATTTTGAGTATTAAAAGCATAGCTGAAATATTAGGATTTGAAATCTGATACTGCCCATGTACAGTAAGTAGCTTTCTGACATTTTTATCCAGCTGTGGAGAATCTCTGCACTGTCATCAGGTACAACAAAAGATCAAACCCACGTCCCCATGTTAACTTTTTAACTTAAAAGAATGCCAGAAAACCCAGATCAACACTTTCCAGCTATGAGCCTTCCACAAAGGCCACCCAAGGGCCAGTCAGACTCGTGCAGCTCTTATTTCTTAATAGTAGTAACCACAATACACAGCTCTTTAAAGCTGTTCATATTCTTCCCCCATTAAACACCAGTACAGAGAAACCACAGGTTGCCCTTCCCACAGCTGGACAGACTTATCCAAAACAGCAGGATGGTTCTCTATTAATCTTTTTGGAGCGCGTATCTGTATTAAGATTGCAAAACATACAGATAGCTACCACAAATTAGGTCAAATGACTGATGAAGTTGTAACATCTATGAGGTCAAATTCCAGTTATAATAAAGTGCCTAGATACACATTTATACAACAGATCATAATAGCTGATTTCTTTACAAATGTCTTTATGGGCATGTAAAATTGACTCTGCATTTCTGCATGTGTGCATTCACATAAGAGAGACCAGTCTGAACTGAGTCATATATACTCCAATTTGAAAAAAAAAAGTGTAACTGGTTAATCATGCAAGTCTGTTTGTAATATAACAATGACTGGTAACATGAATTCTCGCACAGTAGTAATAATAGATGCACTCATTAAAAACACTATGAAAAAATACTGTATTTGGTGCAGTATCTGATTTTCAAGTGTTAGTAACTTGACCATTAAAAAATATTTTGAACAATTTAAAAAGGAAAGACAAACATATAGCTAAAAAAGAATCCAAAGTTGGTAAAAATCTGTATTTTCAAATGAAAATAGAAGCTAGGCTGTGAATCATACACATAAATTCTAGACCTTGAAGCCATAATTCAGCCTAATTATAAGGCCAAGTTACAAACACCTGAACATAAGGATTTAAAAGTGTTCCTGTCAATGTTAAATCATAACAGCACAAAAGAAAAACCAGTATCACTGTGAGACAACTATTTCTAATAATTGATGATTTATTGGTTTTAAAAAAATCATTTTACTGATGCAAAATAGTGATCAAAAGAAATTAGTTTACAAAAAGACTTCTAAAAATATTTTGAGAGGTGGGGCCTATTATATAAAACCCTTAATTTCTTTAATTTCCACTAGTTTATCATTTTTTTCCAGAACAGTATTATTCACTTGGTATTTCAAACACATGTAAGAAGGAAATTACAGGTTTCCTCCACCCACATTTGGGCTGTCACTGATATGCCCAAGGGCAGTCCTGGCAGCACCACGCGGCTGTTACTGTCATTGTACCATACTGTATTCAGCACTCACTAGAAACAGGGTATAGGTGATAGTATCAACAGCAATAGCACTACAGGTAAATGATAAACAAAACAGAAACAAAACCAATCCCACAATCTCCAAGTTCACCTGGACTGTAACTTCTCTTGCAACTCTTTCAAAATAAAGGACAACAGCAACAACAAACAGACCTCTAAGGTGTTTAAAAAGATGAAGTGGCGCTGCAGAGCTGGGCGCTGCTCAAAGATGGCAGTGCCATCTTGTACACACCACCATCCATTATAACCGCCTTCCATCACTGGAATTGTGTCTTATGTAACCAACTAGCATGCAGCATTGTAATCTTACAACTGATCACGTGGACAGTGAACAGCGGTCAACTTTGTCTTTTAAAAAAAAAAAAAAAAAAAACCCCAAAAGACCACACAATCCTGAAAATTTCCCAGCAGCACTCTCAGTCATCAGTTATCTCAGGAACTGAACTTTTGAACAAAACAGAGATTCAAAATCTACTTTCCTACTCCTCTGAGGACAATGCTTCAGGGTAAACTGGTATTTCCCAGTGGCATGCCCACTTGACAACATGCCCGTTCACTCATTTCCTTTCCTTCTCCACCACTTGGCCTCCGGCCTGAGAAAGGGGCCAGCAATAAGGAATGACAGACAGTAAGGCAATCTTACAATGTCAGAAAATGTATTTGGCTTTTTTTTTCTTTTTAAAATAAGTGCATACAAATACAGCTAGAAGCATTTCTGATTTGCCAAGTGCTCTAAAAAAGCAGCGCAAGTCACAGCCTACATAGAACGGTAACTGTCACCAGGATAATAAAGCACAAAGATATGCTAATAACGTTAACAAAAGAAAAAAATGCCTTTATAAGTACATACCTTTTGTCGTCAAAAAAAAATATAGAAACACAATGTATTCAAAAAAAATCAAAATTATACAGCCATGTTTATGAAGTCTACATTTCCCTTGTCTTGGATATATATATATATGGAGATATATATATACAATTCAAGCAGTTTTAATTAAGGGTAATCATTGGGTTTTTCTGAAACCGGAAAGTCAGGAGT